CACTCAACAACTTCCAGAGCATCTGCACGCGGCCGGCCCAGGGCATAATGCGAGTTAAGTGGCTGCTTAAGGGCCTCCACACCACCAGACGGCCTCCAAGAGCACCGAGCTAACACAATTAAAATTTAGATATATTTAAAATATTAAATAATAGCTAAATGCTATTACATATGGAAAAACAATTATTTGATTTTATAGTTAAATAACATTAATATTGTCCTGTTTTCTGCTTATGTTTAAGCAAAAATACAACATCTTACCAAGGTTTTCTGATCTTGTTCTATATCTTTGCACACTCAAAATAAGACAAAACCAACTCATACGCAAACATAGGGGCTTATTTTAAGTAAACAATTCCTGAATATTGATGAAAAAGTTCTTTCTTTTGATTTCTGTTTATTTTCCATCATTGAATCCACATTTTCAGTCTGTAAATAACTCAAAACACCCAGAATAAACTTGATTATGATCTACAAAACTGCATCACCTCATTGGGATGAACAAAGAAGAATGCAATAAGTGGGTTTAATATTTCCACAGATTTCATGTTAGGTTGTCTGTGTTTGTTAAATGAGCAAAGTGTTCCTGAAAAAGTTTGATAAACTATTTTAATGCAGAGAGAGCTGATGGTTATTAGCATCACTTTGTCTTGTTTCTAATGACTCTGATGCTTCCAGGTAACTCCTTTTAGTTTTCTTTATGGAAAAATCTGCAAATTGTTGGAGTTTGGAGTCGCATTCCTCAGAAAAATGAGCGAATAATGACCTGGCATATTACTTATGGGTTCATCTGGTTCAGATTTGATTAGTTTGTAGTTTATGGCTGGACAATAAAATGGAATTAAAAAACAGTAAAACTAATTGTGGTTGGCTGCAAAGCCTGCACCTCGAAACCAGACTAGTTGGAACCAAACCTGCATCTAAATGTTTAACTGGGAAACGCTAATAGACTTCGATGTGCCTAAAGCATCTTAAAAATGCCAGCGGTGGTTCTGTCTTTTCTTATCTGTGTCTGCTGGGTGTCGTCTCTTCAGCTGCTCCTCATGGCTCCTTAAGCTTCACCACTTCGGCTTCAGAAACATCTGAAAAGCGTCTTTATCCGCCTCATGTCAGAGAGAAGAGGAGGGTTTTTCTGCCATGTCTGTTTTAACACCTGCTGCCAAACTCGGCTGATTCATTCAAATGCAAACAGTAGATCTATTTTTCTTTCTTCTAGCAAGATATTATATTTATGATTTGAAAACATGGAAAATGATCCCAGAACAATCTTTTAGTTTTTAATATATCCATTGCAACTAAAAGTGCTTTCCTATGTTATTCCCTCATCAGAAACATACCTGGAGTTTTGCTTTGATTTTTATTTTTTTTTCTCGCTAGTTTGAAAAAAAAAAATCCTTTAATCGCCATGGCAACCATTCAGCTGCCTCACAGAGCAGCTCCTCCAGACTAGCCAGCAGCAATTAGCAAACACCTGCTGGACTGCAGAGCTGATAAGCTCATTTTAGGAGCTACTATTAGGGGAAATACCGGTTAAAGAAATAAAAAAACTTTGTTAGAGGTTAATAAATGATCGATGTTGTGATGACTTCCTGCAGGCAGAGTTTTTAAAGAGACAGATGTTCCCTTACGATGTCAAATTTCTCTTAGTCATATTTGATATTACAGCATCTTTATAACAACTGAAGGTAACAGTTACTTGATTGAGCTATAAAATGGCACCATGTGGCTGGAAAATACATAATACTTTTTCTTTCATTACATAATAAATAAGAAAACCACAAAGTCTTTAATACCAAAAAGTAAACCAAACCATAATGAAGTAAAATCTGAAGTAATAATCAGTTTTCTCTGACTGGATTTCTCCTCGGTGTTCAGATATTTTTCTGCTGCATGTTTCATCTCATGTGTGGCTGTTTGGGGTTTGGCTGCTGCAGCGCCACAAATCACCACCATCTCTGCTTCGCCCTCTGCGGATTTGCTTTAAATGTCAGGATTTCAGCAGCTTTCGGACCCCCCAATCCGTCCCGTCACCGCAGCGGACCCCCCAATCGGACCCCCCAATCGGACCCCAATCGGACCCCGCTCTGAGGGAATTAGTCCCAGAACCAACCAGACTGAAGGGAAAATCCTGCTGTGGTGATGCGGCGTTGCTGCTGGTCAGCTGTTTGACATAACTGGATGAAATTATGGATTTAGCGAATAACTGAGAATGAAAAAGAAAAGGCTAAAGTGAATTCAGCAGAACAAGTTTTACATCAAATGTTGAAATATTGATAACTGGAGCTGAAACAATTAATTGTGATAAATCAATATTTGAAATAATTAATTCACTTACAGTATAGACTCTAAAAAGGCTGAAAAGTAATGAAGCCAAAACTGTGCAATCCATATAAATTTAGCATTTAATATGAAATTTCTAAATATGTTCTATTGTTGACAACAAATGTTAAGTAATAAAATGATTCATATTATTTGTTTATTTGCATCTTGTAATATATTTCTAATTTTGCATAGAAAAGCTGTTAAATAATAGAAAATGCCAAATGTAATCGATTAGTGTTCAGAATAATCAGTTGCCAAAATAATCGTTAGTTACATTCTGATTAATAATAAAATCTTAAAATAGACACAAACTAATTAAAGATGTAATTTCTCAATGTTTTGCCAGGTTGAGTTTTACATTTTTTGAGAAATTAAAATTATAGCTGAATCAAATTCAACGGTTAGAATCTTAATTTTTTTCTTTTTATCCAAAAATATTTTTGTTTGTTTTGCTGCAGTTAACTAAGAATTAAGGATGTTTATTCTGACCTGGTTTTATTCTAATGGGTACTTTTCCAGTTTAAATGTGTAAAAGTGGCATCTCTCCTGGCTGTGGTCTGTTTTTGAGCTAACTGCTGTTTAGTTTCCTGCAGACATATTTCCAGACAAAACGCTGCAACCAAGACAGGAATGACTTTTCCTTCTATAATATTCTTTCTAAATGTGATGCTTACCAATTTGTGGTCATTTCTGCAACATGTAACCATGAAAACAACCCAAGAAAATTATGAAAAATGTTCGACATTGCAGTATTTCTCGCTTGTTTTACCTCGAACAAGGCGGATGAGGTGCAGATTTGCTCGTTAAGCGGCTGTAGGTGGAATATTTGTGGCAGGGAGACGTTCCTTTGTCTGGACGTATCTGGTTTCAGTTTTACTACAGCAGAGGAGACGAGTTGGCTGCTGCTGGGTGTTTCCCAGCCAGACCAGTGAAGTCTGGTTGTCTTTAGTGTCTGACGGCTGCTCCCATTGTCATCCCAACATGGCTCCGAGTCTTATCTGTATGTGTGTGTGAGTAATGTGACCAGACAGGCGTCGTTCTGTGTGTGTGTACTTTATAAACGTCTGTGATGAAGTGCAGAATGAGAGAGTGTGTGTGTGTGCGTGAGTGTGTGTGTGAGTGTGTGTGAGTGAGTGTGTCTGCGTGTGTGAGTGTGTGTGTCTGCGTGTGTGTGTGTGTGTGAGAGTGCGTGTGTGTGTGTGAGAGTGTGTGTCTCTGCGTGTGTGTGTGTGAGAGTGTGTGTCTGCGTGTGTGTGTGTGTCTGCGTGTGTGTGTGTGTGAGAGTGCGTGTGTGTGTGTGTGAGAGTGTGTGTCTCTGCGTGTGTGTGTGTGAGAGTGTGTGTGTCTGCGTGTGTGTGTGTCTGCGTGTGTGTCTGTGTGTGAGTGTCTGCGTGTGTGTGTGTGTGTGCTTGTGTGTGTGTGTGTGTGAGAGTGTGCGTGTGTGTGTGTGGGTGTGAGTGTGTGTGTCTGCGTGTGTGTGTGTGAGTGTGTGTGTCTGCGTGTGAGTGTGTGTGAGTGTGTGCATGTGGAGTCAACCTTTTCCAGCCAGCTACTCACTCATCCTGAAGTCTAATCCCTCTAATCCACCTCCCATCCCACTTTTTTTAATTCCTCCTCCCTCGTTGTTCCAGTTCCCTTCCTGTCTCCCAGTTCTCACTCTTCCTCAGATCCAGTTGCTCCTAAATGCAGCTACATATTGTTGTCATGCACACTAAACATTTGCTTCATTCCTGAACCTTGTTTATTATATTTCTTTTTTAAACTGTCAAATATTGATTAGTTAACTGTTTTGAGATTCGTTGACCTAAAGCAGCAAAAGATTTTTTGGATTATAATCTAATCCACTTCAAAATAAAAGCATGCGTCAGTTTTCCAGGTCTTATTTTGACAGGAATCCCTAAGTTCTCTGAATATTTAAAACGATACTTATCTGATTTATTGCTTAACTTTCTGTGGTTGATAAATCAACTGAACCTGACTGCAGTTCCTTGTAATCAGAATCAAACGGGAATTTATGACGTTTCTCCGTTTTAAGGATCTAAAATACTTACACACTGGTGTCGTGTCTGTCTTGTTTTATTTTTATGAGACGTTGGAAAAACTCGAAACTGCTGCTGTGCAAGTTACTCAGCAAGTTGTTGCTAGGTAACCAAAGTCTGGGGAAACTTGAAGGTTGTTGCTAGGCAACCAAAGAGCGAGTGAGTCAGCAGATTCCACTAGCGTAGCCACTAGCGTAGCCACTAGCGTAGCCACTAGTGTAGCCACTAGCGTGTAGCCACTAGCGTGTAGCCACTAGCGTAGCCACTAGCGTAGCCACTAGCAGCCACTAGCGTCTTTCTTCTGCCTAAATCTCTGAGAATGCTGGAGATATCCAGTTCATATTCCACGTGTTGAATGTTCTGTCAGATTATTCATTGCTGTTGATCATGTATCTATTGCAATATCTAATTTATTGTTATCTGCATGTGGTACAAATGCTAAAGGAAGCATGTCCATTTTACATTAAGGAAGCCTTGAGGAACTTAATCTGTCATCTTTGTTCACTTAGATTCATAGTTTTGAAAATCTGAACTGTTTGGAAAAACTTGGGAAAAAAAGCAGAATGGTTTAAAAAAGAAAAATCAAGGAATATTTTTGGAGTTCTTCCTGTCAGTTGATGTTTTTTCACGTTCCCGTCAGGCTGTGGAGCGTGAGCAGGTGGACGGCATCCAGCCGAAGCTGCAGCACGTCAACGCCGTTGGTCAAGGCCTGATCCAGAGCGCCGCCAAGCACACCGACACGCAGGCGCTGGAGCACGACCTGGAGACCACCAACCTGCGCTGGAACTCCCTCAACAAACGGGTACGGCTCCGAAAACCTGCAAAAAAAAAACAATGACTGAGTTTAACCCATGGAAAAAATGTATTGTGGATAAAAACTTTTTTAAATGATTTAATTAAAATAAGAAGCATTTAGGAGCCTTAAACTTGCATTAAACAATCAAAAACTATTACTTGATGCAATTTCAATTGATTTATTATTTTTGGCAAACTCTTAGGAAATAACAATTACAAAACTTAAATGTTTAAAATTTGATCCTAAAATGTAAATCAGTTCAGCTATTTTTATACATCACAGCTTTTCTCTCTCTTGCAACATTCGTCATTCAAGTTAAAGTTATTAAAGTAAATAAACACAAAACTATCTGTCAGTCGCTCCAATGAAGCAACTTCATATTTAAGTTTCTGTATATTTTCACATTTGCACAAAAGTTTATTTGCAAATTTTCTTTTTTTACATTTTTTTTTTATTGGTATAGAAAATAAATGTTCATCGTCCCTTGCATGTCTGTTTTGTCTGAATAATAAATGCTTTTATCTGTTCTTTTTTGGCCTCAGGTTGCAGAACGCATCGCCCAGCTGCAAGAGGCCCTGTTGCATTGTGGGAAGTTTCAGGACGCGCTGGAGCCGCTGCTCAGCTGGCTGAGCGACACAGAGGAGCTGGTAGCCAATCAGAGGCCTCCTTCTGCTGAATACCGCGTCGTGAAGGCTCAGATCCAGGAGCAAAAGGTAAAATAAGTCAATAAATTTACAAAAAATCTGCGTTTTTATTACATTATATCTATTTTTCTGTATAGATCATTATAAAAACAACAACGTCTGCCAGTCCAGACACACTTTTCCTTGTTTAGCCTCACATACTTCCTGTGTTTGTGCTCATGTGAGCCAGTTAGAGATCAATCATGTTTGTTTTTCTCTGTGACGTAAAGAGCTTCGCCGTTCAGCTTAGAGAGTAAACAGAGAGAGCAGCTGCTGGAAGGAAAACGCACTCATGCTGTTTGAATGCAGCATCGTTGGTGATTTAAATCTGTAGGAGATCTGCTTGTTTATGAGGACGGAGATATGAAAATGTTTCAAAGGAAAATATTCATAGTACAGTTGAAATAAGGCAAACTTACAAGTAACCTTTCAGCAGGATGTATGGGTTTATTTTGAGTCAATAATTGTTTAAAAATATACTTTGTTCCATTGGCAGATAAATTCACTCATGACAAGATATTTTTTCATCTTATAACTGAAATAAAGTTTTGTAAAACAGAAGTTTTAGTTTTCAGGTTTGATTTATTATTGGAAAAGAAACATTGACTCAGACATATTTAAGCTTCTTATAATCTCATCCATAAACCAAATTAATAGCAAATATGTTTCATTGTTGCCAAGTTTTATAGTACTTGGATCAAAGTTTAAGGAGCAGCTGGCAGTTGAGTCCGATCTGGTTTGGAGTCACCTCCTCAAATCAGATTTCAGGTTTAAAATGTTCCCACTTCCTGTTCTGCAGCTGCTGCAGCGATTGCTAGACGACCGCCGGCCGACCGTGGAGATGATCCGCGCGGAAGGCGCCAGGATCGCCGCCACGGCGGATTCTCAGGACCGGGAGAAGATCCAGGTCCAGCTGCAGAGCCTGACGGAGCGATGGTCGGACCTGCTGGACAAGGCCGGCGGCAGGTAAAGCCCCACCGCACCGAGCAGATCCGGTTCCACCAGAACATTCGATCCGGTTGTTTTCAGTCACTCATCACTGAGGAATCTTATTTAGTCCTGGGAAAGAGACATCAGATATTTTCACATCAGTGTAAAGAATTAGGGCTGAAATAATAAGGAGGATTAATTGTGATCAATCAAAAAATTGTCAACTGATTTAGTAACCGATTAATTAATTGGAGTATGAAGACTCAATAAAGGTCAATTACTGAAAGGACAATATATTGAGAGCAGTAATTCAGCAAAAACTATATAAAAAATATGTTTGCAAATTAATGTCCATCTTTTGATGTGTTTCTAAAATGGCATGAAAAAGACTTTAATAGTTAAACTAAAAATCTGCTGAATGTGCACATTTTTTATAGGATTAATTGATTAATCGTACAAATAGTTGATAATAACATCCTGGACGCATGTCGACATCCTCGTGTCTCCTGCTTATATCCTGTTATGGAAAAATGTTTGGTTCTTGTGGTTTAAATGGAATTTAAATTTGTGAAACCACAATATAGAGCATCATCAGAAAGCTCAATCTCATTTCACAATGATGTTTTCCACCATGTTGGAAAGCATGAAACATGATTAAACCGTCTGCTGCAAGCTTTTCTTCGCGCTCACAAACTCATACACACGAGATAATATTTCAGCTGTTAGCAAAACTGATTTGTTTCTGACAAATCCATTTAGAAGAAGCTTTAGATAGACTTGTATCTAATAAAAACTTCATCAATATTTAATAACATGGGCTTACATGACAAGAAATAAGCCTGCAAAAGCAATAAAATATGAATAAAACTCCCAGTTTTGTGTCGGGTCTCAGGCAGCGGCAGCTGGAGGAGCTGCAGCTTCTGGCTCTGCAGTTCCACGAAGCGCTGGAGCCGCTGGGAGAGTGGCTGAGCGCCACCGAGAGACGCCTGAGCTCCGCCGAGCCCATGGGAACCCAAACGGCCAAGATCACCCAGCAGATCGTCAAGCACAAGGTACCGTCTGCCGACAGATCAGAAGCCTGAAGATAAGAGACTTGGGGAGAGGAACCAACAAACGGTCATGTTGCTTGATTCGGTGTTCGCTATCTGAGTGTAGCAGCAGTTTGTTTTATTTCTTCTGGTCAGATTTTTAAAATGTTAGATTCTGTTACAAAATCACAAAATAATCCAACATTACAGAATTAAAAGTAAATAAATTCACTCCATGCAAACTGTAAATTAAAAACAAATTCATGCAAGTATCAATATGAATTCATTAAAAACATGCAACATCTCAAAGTTACATCAGATTTTTGTTGCTCATTCTTTTGAACAAACTGTTATTCATAAAGGACAGATGGGCTACGGCCCCCGTGCCACCCCCTTCTTGGTGCGCCACTGCTTTGTGACGTTTCTAAAAACACAAAGCTTTGTGCAAAAAGAACTTGAAAAGGATAAATCAAAAAACACACATCCAACATCCATGTTATTTCAGTTTATCATCTTTTAATGTTTGTGTTCTTATTTATAATTTCTCATCTGCATGCTCTTATTTTTCATCCATCTATTTTCTGTTGTTTTTATTTCCCTTTCTCATTTCTCTTCATATAAAACACCCACACACACACACACTTCCCAGGCGCTCCAGGAGGACGTGTCCTCCAGAGAGACTGAGGTTGACCACCTCGAGTCCCTCAGCCAGTCTCTGTCCCCGCTCAGCTGCGCGGCCGATCGCGATTGGCTGCGTGAGCGCGTGGGGGCGGTGCGGTCGGGTCACTCGGAGCTCGCCGATTGGTGCGCTGGGCGGGCGGCGCTGCTGGATCAGGCGCTGGCCAACGCGCGGCTGTTTGGTGAGGAGGAGGTGGAGGTGCTGAACTGGCTGGCGGAGGTGGCTCAGAGGCTGGGTCAGGTCTCAGTGCAGAGCTACCAGCCCCAGCTGCTGGCCGAGCAGCACAAACACACACTGGTACGACACTGAAAAAAGTATTTTTGGCCCATACAAATAAATACCCTAATGCACTTGAAATATGACAAAACTTACCTACTAATTTCTGTTCTTTAATATTGATGAAAAAGTAAAAAAAAAGAAGAAATAATTTGTATTTGGAACAAGACATTTTAAGCTAAAGTTTATTTACAGAATGAATTAGGTTAATATTACTGAGCATGTTGGCGTAATCCAACATAATGATAGCATTTAAGCTAATGTTAGCTTTTTAGCTTTCTGTCAAAAGCTAAATTTGACCTGTTACTGGATTATGTTTTAGTGTAAGACAACACAAAAACATTAGCATTTAAGCTAGCATTAGGTTTGTAGCTAATTATAGCTAAGTGACTTGAAAACCAAAATTAGCTTTAGATTTAGTGTTAGCCATCATTGTAGCATATAGCTAACATAACAAAGATAGCATTTAAGCTAGCATTAGGTTTCTTCCCTTTAAGCTAACACGAACTTTTTAGCTAATTTTGACCTAAAAACTTCAGAAATGTCATGTTCAACTGTCAGATAATTTCACCTATAATTAGAACCTTTTCATCAATATTAAGAAGTTAGTGGCTTCTATATTGAGCTATAAAGTTAATCTTAGTTTGGTCTTTTTTCCACTGCACTAATATTTTTTAACTAGAAGCTAAAACAAAATGACTTTGTAAGATTTTATGTTTTGGAAGTGAAGGAAATAAAAAGCAGCTTTTGTGGGGTTTTATTATTTTTAATTTTTGGAGAAACAGCAGAAATATAAAAAGCCGTTTTGTTTTTTTCTTCAGGCTCTTAATGAAGAAATCCTGAGCAGGAAGAAAACTGTGGACCAGGCCATCAAAAACGGACAAGCGTTACTGAAGCAGACCACAGGTGAGCTGCTCCAGCCTGCTGGATATCCCACAGGATTCTGAAAATCCTGAACATTTTCTAGGTTTGGAAAGTGCTTGGTTTCTGTATGACGTCCTTGAAAGTGATTAATATTTTAGTTTAACTTGTCCATGTAAAATATAAGTAGAATGTAAAATATCATCGTAAGACATTAGCAACAATAATAAATGTCAGGAAATTGTGAATTGAAACCGACTTTTAGTTCATTTGTGTTGTTTTTATATAGTTGTGTAAAACTTTCCTTGAAAACTCTTGAAAAGTGCTTGAATTTCACTGGTTCCATGACGGGATGCTCTGCGGTTCCTCCCAGGTGAGGAAGTGCTGCTGATCCAGGAGAAGCTGGACGGGATCAAGTCCCGTTACGCCGAGATGACGGCCGGCAGCAGCAAGGCGCTCCGCACGCTGGAGCAGGCCCTGCAGCTGTCCACGCGCTTCGCCGCGGCCCACGACGACCTCAACCAATGGTTGGACGGCGTGGAGGCGGAGCTTAGCAACGTGGAGCCTGACGCCTCACCTGCCTACCAGGACAGGCAGAAGGTGGGGGACTTGTGTTGTTTGCTTTTAGTGAAACAAAAACAATCCTCTTCATGAGACTATCTAAGGAAAACTGGGTCTTCAGTCAGAGGCTTCTTCAAAGTTACTGTGATACAGACTGCTATAGAAAATCTTTCCTGCCATCACCATCTACAATAACTCTGAGTAATTTGAATTAACATGTTACACCATTTAATTTTTCTTTGGGATTAATGAATATTTTTGAATTTGAAAGCTCGGTGTTCAGCTGTAAACGTTTATTTTTAAAGCCGATTTCAGGCTTTATTTAGAGGCATGAAGGTCATTTAAAGACGTTTAGTCACAGTTTTAAAAGTCATTCATATTTGCTTTAATGAGTCGCTGCTTTCTGTCTGTAACGGTTCCAGCACCAGCCCACCCACAGCTGAGTTTCCATAGAAATGCTCTTCATTCTTGGACCTCAGCAACATTTTTGAAAGGATTTCTGTTGATGGAATCTGTTTCCCGTCTCCAGGCTTTGCCAGTTGGAGACGATATTTTCATGATGTGACATTTAAAATGTTTTTAATAAGATAAACGAGACGCGTTCAGCTTCATGTTGCTGTTTTTATTTCTGGTATTTTTGCTGCAGGAGCTGAAGAAAGTGTCGGCTGAGAAGCGCCTGGTTCTGGACACGGTGAACGAGGTCGGCAACGCGCTGCTGGACCTGGTGCCGTGGCGCGCCCGCGAGGGCCTGGACCGGCTCGTCGCCGACGCCAACCAGCGGTACCGACACGCCGATGAAACCATCACTCAGCGTGTGCAGCTGGTGCAAGCTGCCATCCAGAGGTCGCAGCAGGTACTGCAGGAAGGATCCAGTTATTGAGAAATCTGTTTTTGTTCATGTTTTTTAATCGCTGTGAGTTATGAATGCAATTTAATTTAGTTCCATCCAGAGGAGGGAAGACTGGTGGAGTAGTGATACTCTGCCCTGAGTGTAACTTTTGGGTAATCCGCCGTCCTCTGACCTCATTAATCGATACCTGAACTCTTTGGCTCAGTACGAGGAGGCGGTGGACGCAGAGCTGGCCTGGGTCGGGGAGACGGAGCGGAAGTTGGCGTCTCTGGGCCCGCTGAGCCTGGAGCCGGACGTGACCGTGGCCCAGCTGCAGGTGCAGAGGGCCTTCAACATCGACATCATCCGGCACAAAGACACCGTGGACCAACTGCTCAGCGTCCGAGACGAAGTGCTGGAAGCCTGCAGCGACGCCCAGAAGGACGCTCTGATGGTACGTCGCCAGAATCTCATGATAGAGAGAAGCATTGATCCACTGAGTAATCAACATGAGCTCTATAAGTTCCAGAAGAGTAACTTTGTTTACAGCAACTTCAATAATCTACTTATTTATGGGTTCGATTGCATGTTTTTTATCTTGTTTTTTGTTCTGTTTTACTTCGGATATTTAAAATCCGGTTGCAGAGCAGAGTGATCTGTAGAAACAAGTTTATTCACCGAAATGTTTGAAGCGATTAATCATCTCAGTCACAATTAGTCTGTTAGTGATATAATCAGCTAATTTAGTAATTGGTTAACCTTTAACTGGACAATACAGACTCAAAAAAGGCCACTTGCTGAAAATACCCAACATATTCAGAGCAGCATTTCAGCCAAAACTCTACAAAACAAAAACATTTTGCAATCAAGACAAAAACTTTTGTGTCTGTAAATATATTTTACCCAAAACTCCTCAAGTGTTTTATTTTTTTGATTATTAAGTATTTATCTATTTACATCTTTTCATGTATTTTTAATGTGGCATAGAAAAGGATTAAGTAGTTTAATGAAAAATTAGAGGAATGTGGTAAATTTTCAATCAATTGTTTGAATATTCTACATAATTATTATGCCATTATTATATTAGTTGAAATTGGTCTCAAAATGACTTTATTATTGTTTATTGCTGTAATTTGTCATCGTCCAGCAGCGTTTGCTATGACAGCAAAGGGAGATGAAGATTATCTGTGATAAATGAGCAGAGTGTGACGTAACGCGTTGACTCCTCCCTCAGGTGAAGACGGATTCTCTGAGCTCGCGTTACGACGCGGTGAGCCAGAGCCACAGCGAGCGGTTCTCGGCTCTGGAGCAGGCTCAGGTTCTGGTGGCTCGGTTCTGGGAGACCTACGAGGAACTGGAGCCCTGGCTGGGCGAGACCGAAGCCCTCATCACTCAGCTTCCGCCTCCGGCGATCGACACAGACGCTCTGCGGCTGCAGCAGGACCAGATGAGGGTAGGACAGTTTTAGTTAGTTTTTTTTTATCTTCTTTTATTTGGAAAAATACAAAAACAATGAAGAAACATGGAATTAATTTTTCCAGTTATTAAAAAGAAGATATTAATTAAATGGTGTGGTATTGATGATGTTTTGCTCTATTTCTGACTCAAAGCTCTTTACTGTCCCCTTGTGGTTAAATAAGGAAAACACAAATAATTTCTTTGAGACGATGTTTTTAAAGCACATATCGTTCTGAGTCGTCTCAATGTTTTAATTGTGTTTTCTGATTTGCATAGTTTCATTTTGCTGGATTTAATTCTGCAGGTCAGATTTTATTCTCACTTTGAAGGATTTTTCTCTGCAGCTGCTCAGGGAGTCGATCGCAGAGCACAAACCTCACATCGACAAGCTGCTGAAGATAGGGCCGCAGCTGGCCGAGCTCAGCCTCCAGGAGGGGGCGACGGTGACGCAGCGCTACACCGAGGCGGAGAGGCGCTACCTGGCCATCAAAGAGGAGGTCAAAGGTCGCGCTGGAGCGCTGGACGAGGCAGTGTCCCAGTCTGCACAGGTACGAATATACCCGTCCTTCAGCTGAAGGATTCCCTCATGTCTCCATTTACTAAACATGAACGTGAGTTAAAGAACATCGTTACTAAACAGCATGAAGTTTCTGGTTGTTTATGAATGTTTTGAAATGTTTTTGTGGTTTTTCTAGAAACTGATGAGGATTTATTGCATTGTGTTTCTAAAGAAGGAGGTCATGGAAACTCCAGCATAAACTTTCCTCTCTAATAAAAATGCAAACAACAAAGGGTTCCTTTACAGTCTGGAAACTAAAACGCTGCATTCAGTGTTTTCCAGATATGGAGAAAATAAAAACTTTTTTTTACAGAGGTCCTGTGGTAATCTGTGCTATTGTAGCTCGTTTAGCTAGCAGCCAATGGTTTATGGCTGTTTTTGCATCATTTCTAATGACGCTCCAGTCTAATTTCTCATCTCATGAGGCATCATCGTATCCGCGCTGTTGCTGCTGTTTGTTCTGCAACTGAAAGCATGACTGACTGAACTCACCATGTTGTTTCTCCACCCTCCACCCCTCCTTTAAACCACTCCATGTCTCCTCCACCCACACTTTTCCCTCCATCTTTGTCTCCTCCCTCCTCTCCACATTCATCCTTCTCACCCATATCCACCCTAATCCCACCCGCCCCTCGTTCATTGTGGGATGTTGCTGTGTGTGTTGTTGCCCCTCACCTCCATTTTCTCCATGGTCACTGCAATCACCCAGCTGGTAGAGGTAAGACATCAAGCCTCCACTCAGACAGAGGGCAGCTCCAAACTGCTCAGGTTCAGCTCTGTGGCGCTGAAACCAAACTAAAACAAACTCTTCCTAAAGTACAGGAATGTCTGAACAATAAGAATGTTTTGGAAGTTCAATATTTTATCTCCATTTCAGAAAGAGAAACTCAAATAGTATATAGATTTCAGAGCTGAAACGATTTATTGCGATTAATTGATTAGTAAAAATAATCATTAACTAAGTTAGTAATTGATGAGTCGCTACCCTGAGTGTACAGACTCCAAAAAAGAAAATTTACTGTATAAGCAATATATTCAGAGCTGTAATTAAGTTTTATCTTCACCTGGTTCAAATGATATAAAACAAAAATCTCCTTTTTCTTTATTACTCTGTTAATCATAAGTTGGTCACCAGATCAGCTCTGCAGTTTATTGAATGACTTTCACATATTGATGTCTGAAATATTGTTCAATTGTTTTCTAATTGAATGCAATGTTTCTGCTCACAGGTTTATTTTATTCAAAAAAGTAACTGAATTGTTTTATGTCTTTCTATACGATAATAAAAAGGCTTGAATGAAGTATCTTCAGATTATATTTTTAAAACCCAATAATTGATTAATCGTAACTGATAACTGCTTCATTTCTGCAGTGGGGAAAAAAAATATGAAACTTTTTTCACAACATGAAATTTGTTTCGATGTTCCTGTACTTAATTGTTTTTCCAATCAATCTTGTTGTAGCAGAAATGTTTTCCTGAGTTTTACTTTGTAATTATTTATTTTTCTTACATTCTTGAAAAAAAAATCAAGACTTAATGGTTTGTTTTGTGTAAAATATTCCCTCCAGTCTGTTTAGTCCCTTTCCCTGTTCTGTAGAGTTTAGCTTTGAAATGTTTAAAGTGACATATTGAGATATTTTTATTTAAAGGAACAGTGATTCCCAACCTCTTGCTTCAGCTGCACATGTATTGTTAAAAATCCACTTTCTGAATAAGTGATGATGGTAAATCAAACATTTAAACTGAAAAGCATTGGCAGCATCTTAAAGAGTTTGAATTAAACTAATATTCTGTGCAAAAATGTTGTCAAAGTGAGAAAAACTAGTAGATTTCCACATTTCAGTTCAGGAGTATTACATGTGTTAACATCAAAAATAAATATACATGCATATTTATTTGAAGTAAATCTGTTGATTTCTATTTTTATATCGTTAAATTAAAATGTAAATAAGGATAAAAGAAAATGAATTCAAATATCCTAATTTAAAAATAAATACATTTTAGAAAATTTCTTCTTTGAGAGCAAAGTAGAACCAAAATTCCTTGTTTTTGTTCAAAAACTGACAAAAATGTGGGAATCACTGTTTCCTGAATGATCCTCCTGCATTCAGATCAGGATTTCATCATGTCACTCAGACTCCGCTCCTCCTTTCTCCCCTCAGTTCCACGACAAGATGGATCCTCTGCTGGAGACTCTGGAGGCGGCGGTGCAGCGGCTCCGCCAGCCTCCGCCGGTCGCCGCCGAGGTGGAGAAGATCCGGGAGCAGCTGGCGGAGCACCGCGCTCAGGGGCTGGAGCTGGACAAGCTGCTGCCCAGCTTCTCCGCCCTCTGCTCCCGCGGCGAGGAGCTCATCAGCCGGGCGGCGCACGACGACCCGGCGGCTCAGGGTGAGACGCCGCGCTGCATCCGTCCGGTTTCACTTAAAGCTCAGGAAATTAGCGCTGAAATGACTGATCGTGAATAATCGACTAGTATCGTCCACTAAATTAGAAATTGATTCATCATTAACCAAAAAAAGACAATTTACTGCAGTAATTAAGCCAAAACTGTACAAAAAATATACATTTAGTATTAAAGATGAAAAAGTTTTCTTTGTAAATATGTTCAACCCAAAACTTCTCAAATGAACAAAGTGAAGTTTTTAGCTTCACTTTGGCTTATAGAGCAGATCTGTCCTATGCTGAGTAATAAGAAGTGGTTCAGTGAGAAATATGTATTATATTCCATTTTTTATCCATTTAATCATCAGAACAGTCTATTGATCATCAGAATAAATGATTAATCATCAGAATAATCGCGAGTTGCAGCCCTAGAAGGAGTAAAACTTGTTTTCTCCTTCCGTCCCGCAGCCGTTCGCTCCCGGCTCCTGCGTTTGCGCTCCCTTTGGGACGAGATCCGGCAGCGAGCCGAGGAGAGAGAGAGCAAGCTGAACGACGTCCTGGACCTCGCCGGGAAGTTCTGGGCCGACGTGGCGGCTCTACTGAGCACGCTCAGAGACTCCCAGGACATCGTGAGGGAGCTGGAGGACCCCGGGGTGGACCCGTCGCTCATCAAGCAGCAGATCGAAGCAGCCGAGGTTCAGAGGATGATCCTGGACTCTCTGCTGAGTCGCGCTTTATTGGTCGAAGCTTAAATTCCTGGTTGTGTTTCCCAGGCCATCAAGGCGGAGACGGACGGCCTGAGGGAAGAGCTGGAGTTCGTCCGGACGCTCGGGGCTGACCTCATCTTCGCCTGCGGAGAAACGGAGAAACCTGAAGTCAAGAAAACCATCGACGAGGTGAGAAAACTGGGAAGAAGATATTATCGTTCTCATTTCACCCTGACCAATCAGAAGCTTAGGTTGTGATTTAAACAGAATAATTCAAAAATCTTGATTAGGAAAAGAAAAATTAACAATTTAATTCAAAGAAAAAATAATAATTGAAAAAGAACTTAACATTTCAAAAAGATTAACAGTGTAAATAATAATAAAAATGGATTAAAAATGCTAAAATAAATTATTAAATCAATTTTTTAAAGAATAATGTTGGTGTTACAGAAAAATTAGGATATTTTGATTATCAGAGAAAAATTTCAGTTGTGGTGAAACTGCATTTTTAAAATAAATTTCTGTCAGAAATATTCCTGAGAATGTGAACCATCATCGTTGATATGCAGTTATTGATCCTTATTGTGTCTTGCATCCCATCATCTGGCAGCTCGGTGTGTCTGGTTGCCTTTTGGTGTCGGTTCAGAATATTCCCAGATTGATTCTCCATCCTGTCTGTGTTCCTGCCAGATGAATGCCGCCTGGGAGAGTCTGAACCGAACATGGAGGGAGAGGATGGAGCGGCTGGAGGAGGCCATGACCGCCTCGGTTCAGTACCAGGACGCCCTGCAGGTCCGCTCAGGCTCGCTATGGTTATGCTGCGGCGCTCAGATTCAGAGCTTATGTTACGCTGCATTTCTTTGTGTCTGCAGTCCATGTTCGACTACCTGGACAACGCCGTGATCAAGCTGTGCGACATGTCCACCGTCGGAACCGATCTGGGAACCGTCAAACAGCAGATAGAGGAGCTGAAGGTTCGTACGGCCTCCGCCTGATCAGAACCGCAGACGGTTTACGTCGTCAATCTGACCCGGTCGTTTATCGGTTCCCGCCCCGAGCAGCAGTACAAGGTGGACGTCTACCAGCAGCAGATTGACATGGAGAAGCTCTGCCACCAGGGGGAGCTGCTGCTGAAGAAAGTGTCGGACCAGACCGACCGGGACATGATCCAGGAGCCGCTGACAGAACTGCGACACCTCTGGGAGAATCTGGGAGATAAGATCACCCAAAGACAGGTAACGACGACGCCGTTCGATGGATTTATAGTAAGATAAGGAAGAAAATAGCAATTATTTTAGAAATCAGTTAAACTATCGCTTATGCTGACGATTAATCAGATAAAAAAATGGCAGTTTCTACAGATTCTGCAGGAAATAAAGGCTTCAAATATTTAATTCTGTATGATGAATCTGTCAGGGCTGCTACTAACAGCTATTTTCATCAATTAAGTTATTTTAGCGATTGATTGATTACTTGAATTTAAAGATTTGAATTTTCTGCAGATATTTTATCTGATCAATTAAGCCTTTTTATACAATATTAAAAATACATTAAAAATGTGAATAAATCAATAAATTTCTTTTGCATTATTTTTGTCTAAAATGCAATAACTGTTTTCCTTTAGAGAACGTTTGATCATTTGAAACAAAAGATGCATCTGCAGCTAAAAATCAATCAATCAATAGATTGTAGTGCTGATCTGGTGACTATTTCTGATGGTGATGAAGCTAAAACTGTTTAGATGGGACAGATTTACAGACAGTTTGTTTTTAATCTTAAATGCAAAATGTGTAAATAGTTTAACAATTTTGACTTAATTACTATAATTACAAAGCTTAGTGATTGATTGCTAGGGTAGTTGACAATTATTCCAAATATTGATGAATCAGATTAATCGCTTCAGTCCTAGGAAGAAGTTAATGTTACTGTTTTTTCTCCGCAGCACAAGCTGGAGGCAGCGCTGCTGGCTCTCGGTCAGTTCCAGCACGCTCTCTCTGAGCTGCAGGCCTGGCTGAGCCACACACACACCACTCTGGACACGCAGCGGCCCGTCAGCTCCGACCCCAAGGCCATCGAGATCGAGCTGGCCAAACACCACGTACGTCTGCAATCTGCGATGTCTTTAAAGGGACCTGCTATTCAAAACTCTTATATCTGGATTTACAGTGAAATGAGAAGACTGAAACCTCATCATCCAAGAATGATTCATGTTTTTTACAGCCTATTCTGACCTGTCACCTTTAAACTTCTGGAAGGTTACCGATTCAGATTATCCATGTTTAAATCTCCGTGTAACGCAGGTTTTACGTAACGACGTGCTGTCCCATCATTCCACGGTGGAGACCGTGAACAGCGCCGCCGCCGAGCTGCTGGAGTCCTCTCCGGGCGACGAGGCCAGCCACCTGCGGGATCAGCTGGACCAGCTCAACCGCAGCTGGGAGACTCTGCTGCTAAAAACCCAGGAGCGGCAGAAGCTCCTGGAGGCCGCCCTGCAGCAGGTACGCCCAGGCCACGTCCAGTGAAGTCACTCTGAGGATCGCAGATGTGAATAATCCAGACCTCCCCTTCTCCACACCGTCGCTCTGCAGGCCGAAGGTTTCCATGGGGAGCTGGAGGAGTTCCTGCAGTGGCTGAGGCGGACGGAGAGCCAGCTGTCTGCAGCCAAGCCGACCGGAGGCCTCCCAGAAACAGCCAGAGAGCAGCTGCAGCAGCACATGGTGAAGCAGAGTCGGATTTCACCACATGTCTCTGTGCAGACAGGGATGCTGTCTGCACAGAGACATGTGGTCCAAATCAAACTTTAATGAGCCTCATTGTTCCAAACGGATCAGTGTTCAGAAACGGCGTCGCTCACCTGAGGCAGGTGATCATCTCATTCGTGTCGTCTGCAGGAGCTCCAGGCTCAGCTGAACCAGCGGGCAGAACAGTACCACCACCTGCTGGATCAGGGAGAGTCCATGCTGCTGGCCCGCGGAGGAGAGGAAGCCGGACCCGGAACCACCCAGACCCAGCAGAACCTGGCCATGCTGCAGAACAAGTGGGCCAGCCTCAACACCAAGATGGACGACCGCAGGGTGAGTCTGAAGATTCAGCAGCTTTCATTTGGATTGTTGTTTCGGTTTCTGGATGGTTTTGACTTTAAGCTTTAAAAACTTTCAGGGGAAGCTGGAGGAAGCCGTTTCGTTGGCAACAGGTTTCCAGACGTCCCTCCAGGACACCATGAACTGGCTGACGCAGGCCGAACAGACCCTGAACATGGCCCAGCCCCCCAGCCTCATTCTGGACACTGTCCTCTTCCAGATCGATGAGCACAAGGTGAGCTGGACACAAATACTGATCAAATGGGTTTGGAATGTACGGAAGACTGAACATGCCCAAATCAGCAATGTGTATGTGCAACACAATCATTTTGTTCTGCATTATTTATTGTTTTTGCACTAAATAATGCACAATAAAAGATCCTCTGTGTATTTTGAATGTTTTCCTCTGATAGATACAGGCTGCATTTCTCTATTGTTCATCACTTGAGGTTTTCCCACATTAGACCACATTACGAATACTTTACAAAATATAAATTATATTTGTCTTTTGCAGTCATATCTAATCATACAGAAATCGGGGCAACCAGATGAAAGAAACAAAAGTCCAAGAGGAAGTCATTCTGAAGAGTTTTGAAGTCATATTTCAGTGTTTAAAGACTCTTTGTGGCCAATGTGTAGCACACGCAGAGTTTACAATTACAACTTTTAAATCTTGCCCCCATAATTTGACTTCAAAACTCTTAATTTCAACTTTCTTCAGGGTGTGAATATCACACCATGAAGTACCTGACTCTTCAGTACCTTATTTTAGATCGGTGAGAATTGCAGAAATTGCTAACATCTTAGTTAGCGCTGTTAGCATTCCTGGTTAGTTCTAGCCATTAGCTTTTTTTGGTTTGTGGAAATAAAAACAAAATAATGAAGTAAAAATGTTTAAAATAACACATATAGATTTATAGAACCTTTGAGATTTTATGTCCTGGACTTTGGCAGATATTTTGGTGATAATGTCATAAACTTGGTTTCAGACTCGGGGTTTATTGCGGTTCCTTTGTGTCCGTCCAGGTGTTTGTGAACGAGGTGAACACCCACAGAGAGCAGGTCCTGGCTCTGGAGAAAGCAGGCTCTCAGCTTCGCTTCGCCAGTCTGAAGCAGGATGTGGTTCTGATCAAGAATCTGCTGCTCAGCGTCCAGGCCCGCTGGGACAAGCTGGTCCAGAGGTCCCTGGACCGGGGCCGACACCTCGATGAGGCCCGCAAGCGAGCCAAGCAGGTAGCTTACCGACCCACGCAACAAAACGGAAAAAGATATGGAGGAACAAACAAAATCATTTCATTTTGTAACTTGAAATTACAAATTACAAAATGCTAATTCTGTTTTAGTTTAAAGGTTTTAGTTTGATTCTGTTTTAGTTTAAAGGTTTTAGTTTGATTCTGTTTTAGTTTAAAGGTTTTAGTTTGATTCTGTTTTAGTTTAAAGGTTTTAGTTTGATTCTGTTTTAGTTTAAAGGTTTTAGTTTAAAGGTTTTAGTTTGATTCTGTTTTAGTTTAAAGGTTTTAGTTTGATTCTGTTTTAGTTTAAAGGTTTTAGTTTGATTCTGTTATAGTTTAAAGGTTTTAGTTTGATTCTGTTTTAGTTTAAAGGTTTTAGTTTAAAGGTTTTAGTTTGATTCTGTTTTAGTTTAAAGGTTTTAGTTTGATTCTGTTTTAGTTTAAAGGTTTTAGTTTGATTCTGTTTTAGTTTAAAGGTTTTAGTTTGATTCTGTTTTAGTTTAAAGGTTTTAGTTTGATTCTGTTTTAGTTTGATTCTGTTTTAGTTTAAAGGTTTTAGTTTGATTCTGTTTTAGTTTAAAGGTTTTAGTTTGATTCTGTTTTAGTTTAAAGGTTTTAGTTTGATTCTGTTTTAGTTTAAAGGTTTTAGTTTGATTCTGTTTTAGTTTAAATTTCAGCGTTAGAACGTAAATACGAACTCTGCTCTCAGTTCCACGAGGCCTGGAGGAAGCTGACCGACTGGCTGGAGGAAGCCGAGAAAAGACTCGACTCGGAGGTGGAAATCTCCAACGAGCCGGACAAGATCAAAGTTCAGTTGACCAAACACAAGGTACCACAGAGAGAAACCCGATCCAAACCCGTTTCAGCTCCAGATCTCTGCTCACCCTGAAATCTGCTTTTCTCCCTCAATCAGGAGTTTCAGAAAGCGCTGGGATCCAAGCAGCCGGTTTACGACACCACGGTGAGGTCAGGGAAGGCCATGAGGGACAAAGCTCAGCTGCCTGCTGACCAGCAGAAACTGGACCACCTGGTGGGGGAAGTCCGGGACAAGTGGGACACCGTCTGTGGGAAGAGCGTTGAAAGGTACGGAGGACAGAGTGTGACAGAATGAGACAAATAATCTGTGAAAAGGTCGACTTCCTCCCTGAGCTACTACTGATGTCTGAGGAAATGCACCAAAATCAAAGCCAGTGGGAGATGCTTAATGGTGTCAATCACCCTCATGTACTCAATGCTAAATGTGCTAATGTTGGAGAAACAATTTACCATTACAGGAAAATCATTTTACCAACGTGGCCATTTGATAAGTAAAAAAAAATCATTATTGCACTTTTTTTTTTTTTCATCTCTTTCTGCCAAAACAGGATCAAAACTCTTCAGTTTGGTTCTTTGGTCTCAACCAACCTTTTTTTTTGAGATGTAATTATTCACTTATTATTCCTGTTACTTTATTTATTATAACAGGAATTTAGAATATCTCCCAGTTCCAAGAGGGGAGAAGGGATGAGTAGCACCAGATGGAGGGTGATTGACAGCACTAAGACCCGCCTCCTGGTTCTGATTGGTTGTGTGTTGTATGACATGATTATCTGTCTCATAACATACATGTTATCAACAAATGTTTTTTACATAAGTAGCATTTTCCAAGTGGAACTAAAAGTCACTAAATTTGAGTTTTTCTGGTGTTTCCAGGCAGCACAAGCTGGAGGAGGCTCTGCTGTTCTCAGGTCAGTTCGCCGAAGCGCTTCAGGCTTTAGTGGACTGGCTGTACCGGGTTGAGCCTCAGCTGGCTGAAGACCAGCCGGTCCACGGTGACATGGACCTGGTGTCCAACCTCATGGACGCACACAAGGTGGGTCGGGATGCTGACGCAGAAACCGGCTCCTCCTTCCTCTTTTAGAGCAGAGATTAACGCAGGTATGATCTACGCTTCCAGGTTTTCCAGAAAGAACTGGGCAAGCGGACCGGCAGCGTTCAGGCTCTGAAGCGGTCAGCCCGGGACCTGATGGAGACCGGCCGGGACGACACGGCCTGGGTCAAAGTTCAGCTGCAGGAGCTCAGCAACCGCTGGGACACAGTGTGCGCTCTGTCCGTCACCAAGCAGACCCGCCTGCAGCAGGCGCTCAAACAGGTGCGGGATGTTTAAATGCAGATTATAATCCCTGCATCAGGGCTGTACAAACGTTTTATTGCATGGGTCAAAAATGAAAATTAAATAATTTCAAGAAAATGAAATCTAAGGTTCCTTCTGGTTTAGTATAATTAATTAGTACAGTGAATAATCTGAGTAAAAGTTTGAATCATTTGACAGCACAGCTATAAATATTAGCAAAAGATGGCAGAAAAAATGTAAGAAACAGATGATTTTCATTTTTGTGACCCGTCAGGCTGAGGAGTTCCGCACTGCGGTGCAGATGCTGCTGGAGTGGCTGTCAGAGGCGGAGCAGACGCTCCGCTTCCGCGGCGTTCTCCCCGAAGAGGCCGAGACGCTGCAGGCGCTGCTGCACACGCACCGCGACTTCATGGGAACGGTGGAGGAGAAGAGGGCCGACGTGAACAAGGCCGCCGGCATGGGAGAGGGCATCCTGACCGTGTGTCACCCCGACTCCATCACCACCATCAAACACTGGATCACCATCATCAGGGCGCGCTTCGAGGAGGTGAGTGAGCGCCTGGTTTTATGATTTAAAACAATGAGGCTCGAGTCTGGTTGGAATGGGACTGAAACGATTAATCAATTATTCAATTAATCGTCAGTAATTGATTTATTGTTAACTCAAAAATGCCCATATCCTGAAAAACAGATACAGAGTAAAAAGCAGTCCAAAATTGTACAAAAACTTTACATTTTGCATTTAAACTTACCTTGAAAAGCCCAAACAAACCCTGCATTTTTAATCCGATTAATCATCAGAATATTTGATTAGTCGATTCCTAAAGTCATTAGAGTCAGGATAAGGCGATGCGTCTTTGCTGTACAGGTGCTGACGTGGGCCAAACAGCACGAGCAGCGGCTGGAGACGGCTCTGACGGAGGTGCTCAACAACGCCAACCTGCTGGAGGAGCTGCTGTCGTGGTTACAGTGGGCCGAGACCACGCTGGTCCAGAGGGACACGGAGCCTCTTCCTCAGGACATCCCACAGCTGAAAACGCTGATCACGGAGCACCAGGTGAGTCCGCGGAGACGCGGCTGGACCTCCAGGAAGTGGAAGTGGAGGTTTCCTGTTTGGGTTAAAGCCCCTCTGCTGTTTCTGCGTTCCAGACGTTCATGGAGGAAATGACCCGGAAGCAGCCAGACGTGGACAAAGTGACGAAAAGCTACAAAAGGAAACCAGCGGAGCCTCCCAGCAGCCTGGCGGAGAGGAGAGGAGCTCGTATGTCACCAAGCTAAAGCTATCGATTAACTGAATTATTGCGAGACCTCCATGGTTTCTGATTCCAGTTAAACCTTCTGCTTCCTGTCCAGGTAAACACCAGCACCAGCAGCAGCAGCAGCCCAGCATGCAGCTGTCGGGGGGAAACCCGCGCCTCAACCAGCTCTGTGCGCGCTGGCAGCAGGTGTGGCTGCTGGCTCTGGACCGCCAGCGGAAACTCAACGACGCTCTGGACCGCCAGGAGGAGGTGACGCCTTTTCATTTAAACCATGAACCACCTGAACTCAGATGGATTCATTATAAAGTGAACTGGACTGGAACCCTCTGAGGTTTTGGTGCAAATAGTTAAAGAGCCTTTTTGTTAGAGAGAAAAGCTGATAATCCCGAGTTTCCTCCTGCAGAATTAGATGGGAGGATTCATCACTTTCTGCACCAACTTCCCAAAATAACTTAAATCCTTTTCAGAAGGAGAAATATAAAAAAGAGGATCTATTCCAGATCTGACACTGCCCCCTACTGGATGCAGGTGGTAACAAACAAGAGCTGAGCTCATTTTGGACCCAACAAGGATAAATTAATAACGGCTCAATCAGAAAAAACTATTAACCAAAATGGAAATTATTGCCCTAATTTTAATTTATTGTGTTATTTATTGATTTATTGTAACATGCTTTTTGATTGTTTATTGATTTCATAAATATAAAAACAGAAAAAGAATCAAAAATATTTTTTAAACAATTTTAAACTGATTAATGAAATATTTGGAGGATTTGAAGCTCACAGCTGGATCTATAGAAAAATAATTCAAACTGATCAGTCATGTCTTTTTTTAGTTCAATAAACAGTTCTTTTGATTTCTGATACAAGTAAAATATTTGATCCATTCGCAGCTCAAAGAATTCGCCAACTTTGACTTTGACGTGTGGAGGAAGAAGTACATGCGCTGGATGAACCACAAGAAATCCCGCGTCATGGATTTCTTCCGACGCATCGACAAGGACCAAGACGGAAAAATCACGCGACAGGAGTTCATCGACGGCATCCTGGCCTCCAGTACGTTCCTCCAGTTCAGTTTCCGCTTCCACTTACCAAATATAAAGGAGTAAAAAAACATGAAAATGCTGTTTCCCAGAATTCCCCACCAGTAAGCTGGAGATGTCGGCCGTGGCGGACATCTTTGATCGAGACGGAGACGGTTACATCGACTACTACGAGTTCGTGGCGGCGCTTCACCCCAACAAGGACGCCTACAGGCCGACCACCGACGCCGACAAGATAGAGGACGAGGTATCGGCGAGGCGGCAGGAGAAACGCGGCGGGATGCAGACGAGGAGCGCGGCTGAACCGGGTCTGTTTGTGTCGCTGCAGGTGACCCGCCAGGTGGCACAGTGTAAGTGCGCCAAGCGGTTCCAGGTGGAGCAGATCGGAGAAAACAAGTACAGGGTGAGTCTCTGGGTCCGGTTCGGTCCGGATTCAGGATTACATCAACATAAAGAACCAGAGTCCAACAGAATTTACAAGAAAACGCAAATAAATGTAGTTAATTTAAAGGTGATGAAAGGTCAGAAGGTCACAGAATCTAACAGTGACAGAACAGAAAACGATCTGATTAAACCACAAAAACATTTTACTGGGATTTTATTGGACTGACCAAATTAAAGAAATTGTATTCTTAACCATTTTACTCTGATGCCCCTAAATAAAACCAGTCCTGCTCAAAAAGGCAGCAACAAATAAACAGAAAGTTACAATGAATAAAAAAATGACAAGATATAAAAAATCCTGTCATTGAATCGAATCAAGAACTTTTAGTTTGGATGTAAAAGCACCAAACGAGACGTTCAATCAGTCTGAAAGCTTTGCAGCGTTTTCCTGTTACGTTTTTTTATTTGTTTGGGGCTAAAAGTTCCAGTAAAATCCCAATAAAAAGGATTAAAGTTAGAAGGTTTTATGTGACATAAAATATTAGGTTTTTTTTGTCTCTTTTACTCCAGTAATTTTGTTTTTTACCTGTTTGTTTACTTTCTCAGAATAAAAGGGGCAGATATTATAAAATATTTTTATTCTTCCTGCTCCCTTTCATTTTATCGATTTCTATATTTCCTCTACTATATGTAATTGTTTTCGTTTTCAGTGAAATATCAAACTAAAGACTAACCTGTAACAACAGTTTCACTGCGTTCAGACTAAAAACGACACGTTGATCTGCATCTTCTTTACGTAACTGTTGGATCTGTTGCCTCACGCTCTCGCTGGACGTTGATGAGGGAGACGGTTAAATTAACAATAATCTCTCACTGCGTTGCTCACCTGTTTGTTTCCCACATCATGTTGGATTTGTAGGTGTTGGTCTCACCTGTATCCACATTTCAGTCACATCTCTGCAGGACTCTGCCGTCACCTGACCGTTAATCTGTGAACACGCAGCACAAACGCAGCACAAACGCAGCACAGAAACGCTGCAGGCTTCTGGGTGCAGGGCGGCTAAACACTGAGGAAAACTAAAACTTCAGTTTTCATAAAATCAGGACTGGGCAATAACTCAGTTTTAACAATTAAATTTTTGGTTTTTGAAGAATTCATTTTTTGGAAAATCTGGATTTATTTTTTTTCATGTATTTTTTGATTTCACAGTGAAATCGTCTCGCCGTGGCGGCCATCTTTTTTAACTAGCGTGACGCAACTAGCAGAATTACTGAATCCATATGTTGAAAATATGTTCTTTTATCTTTTAGGAAAGAAATCCAGGAATCTTTATTAAAATCGGATGTTAGTTTTTATTTAAATGTTATTTTTAAAACGTGTCGCCCAGCCCTGCATGAAATCTGATGGTTTATTTTGCATCTAAATATCAGAAAGTTAATAAAAGTTTGTGACTTTTAAGTGAGTAACAATGATCATCTTGAAATACATTTTCTCTAAATTGATATATTTGCAGAATTTTATTTTTTATTAATATAAATAATTTTATGGTAAATTAGAGCAGCGCTCTTCGTCAGGAGTCGGCGTGTCTCTGTGCTGCAGCCATTAACTCCTCCTCATCCTCATTTTCAGCTTCATCTCCTGGATCTTCATCACAACATTTTTCTCCATCATCATCCTCAGGGTGATGAAGTCCGGCGTCCTGCAGACGGACGCCGGACTAACTAACGTTTCTCTGCCTGCGAGTTTGTTTCCCTCGTCGTTGTCGTGCATTCACGTTTCACTAACTTCCAGCTGGAGCTGCAGTTCAGGAAGATGTTTTTATCCTGTGATAAATGTTTCATTGTCGTTCTGTTTCTTCCCCCCCTGCCCTCGTCTTCCTCTGCTCCGTTTCCTGCCGGACTTTTTCTAGTTCTTCCTCGGAAACCAGGTAAAGTTTCAGCCGCTGGCGGGAGGGACGGGCGGAAGCTGCTTCCATGTTTTCCACACAGGGAAACAATAATTCAATAATTGATTAGTTATGATTGATCTGATTAACTGTTTCAGCCCTAACATTCAATTCCTGCAAGGAAAAACTTTATATTGTAAGAGAAAGACTTTCAGTATTCAGGATGGAGAACAAACTAAAATGTTCCCCATCATCCCTAGGGGGCTCTAAACTTCTGCCACTAAAATTTTTCCCCAGTCAGAGTTAAAAATGAGAAGAATAAAGAGAGAAGCAGCAGCGCTCCTTTGTGGCTGTGCAACGTGGAAGCAGCTCTCGCCGTCCGCTTGTGTTCATGCTGTGATTTGTTTGACTAATTGCACAATGCGAGGCGAGTGACAGCGACACGGCTGAAGTGCTAATTAGTGGTTGGGTGAAAATATGGCGTGCTGGAGCTGGGAGCTGCTTGGAGAGACGTCCAGAGGAATCCTCCTGTGCTGGTTTTGCTTGAAAATGAGCTTCGCTGGGTGAATTTTAAAACAATAAAACTTTTCCGGGTCCATAAATTAAGGTTGATGCTTTGATTAGAGTGGCTGAGAATCGGTGCATGTGTTTTTCTCTGAGATTGCATGACTAGATCCAGTTTTGGTTTGTGGGTTTCTGTGTTGGATCCTGAATAAATCCGTTACCAGTCCAGCTGACTGGGTTTTCCCTCTCCTGTTTCCTCTCTGAACCTCCTCAGTTCGGCGACTCCCAGCAGCTGCGTCTGGTCAGGATTCTGCGCAGCACCGTGATGGTGAGAGTCGGCGGCGGCTGGATGGCTCTGGACGAGTTCCTGGTCAAGAACGATCCGTGCAGAGGTGAGTTCTGCTCGAACCCGGACGGGACTTCCACCATCCTGTTTCACGTTTACCTGCAAGAACCTGACTGGTTCTGGATCTTTACCAACTTCAGGCTAAAAGCTGTTAGTTTTTTGATGCATTTTCTGACTGAACAGCAGCAGAAAGTGTCTGATGGAGTGAAGATGGATGCAGGAAAGGAACAGAAAGTGAATTTTTCTGTTCCTTTGGTCACATTTGCTGGATTTTCTAAACATTTTTAGACTCTAGATGAAATATTCTGCTTTACAATCTGTTAAATTCAGATTAGGTTCAAAACGATTAATCAAATTAATTGTGATTAATTGAAATAATTGTCAACTAATTCAGTAATTAATAAGTTGATTTAGTAATTAATAGTTGACTGCAGTATATTGATTCAAAAAAAGCAATTGCTGAAATAACAATACACTCAGTGCAGTAATTAAGCCAAAACTGTACAAAGTTTTTGTATTTTGCATTTAAGATAAAAAAAAAAACAGGACTCAAGTGACAAAGGTTTAGCTTCACTTTGTTCAAATTCTTTAATAATTTATAAATGTGTTAAATATCTTTAGTTATCCAGTGAGGAATCAGGTGCGTCTCTGTTCAGTTCACAGTTGTTGGTTTTTATATGATCATAGAACCGTTTTGTCTGGACTGTCATGTCTCCGGCTGAATATTTGAACCAGTCAGGCTCTTGGATTCATGGTCACACATTGAAGCTCTGAAATGACTTCATGTTGTCCAGCCGTCTGTCAGCAGGTGACGCAGTGAAGATCTGATCATCTGTTCCCGTCGGAGCAATGTCTCCTGGTTCCCATCCTCTCCGTTTGAAGTTTTATTTCCATGTACTCAGACTCTTCCCTCTGTCTCTCTCTCCATACTTTATTAAATGATAGTACTGCATGATGCATGGTCCTCAGTTTCTCTTCCTCTCCTCCTTCCATTCTCCCTCCCTTTTTTTCTCTCTTTCCTCAGTGAAACATCCAGGACTTAAGATCCTCCGCTCCGATTCCAGTAGCTCCATCTCATCTCGTATAGGTTGGATTTCTCTCACATTTTCTCTCAGCTGCGTGTTTCTTTTTGTTTCATTTTTACCTGGACAGTCCCACCCAGGTGTCTTCCTTTTATATCTCTCATCGCATCATCCATGCCTCTTTTCTTGTTGCTTATTGTGATCTCTAGACTAATGTAATGTCTTCCCGGTTGTTCTGTTTCCCCCCTGCTTGGAAAAGCTCTGAAATCTTTGAATGTTGCCATTTTTTGGGGCGACAGAAGCTCGTCTGGATCCTTTCGTGTATCTAAAGTGTTTTTTTTTTATACAACATTTTCAAGAAGTATCACCTCTGCACTGCAAAAACATAAAATCTGACAGGGTGTCTTTGGTCTAGTTTCTAGAGCAAATATCTCAAAACACTTGAAATGCAACGGATCTCATTTAAAAGTAACTTTTCAGTGCAATGTAAGAGCTTGGCTTAAGTTAATAATTCTTTAATATTGGTGAAAAAAGTGAAATAATCTGCCAGCATTTACCAAATATGTTAGCTTGCACTACCACGACGGCTAACATTCACTTAATCCATGCAGGACACCAGTAACTTTGGTTAAGAAGTCAAAATTAGCTAAAAAGCTAATGCTAGCTTAATGCTATTAGCATTGTGTTGCGTTAAAGCTGACATGTTGGATGACATTAGTTTGGTCTATTCCACCGGTGAAATGATCTGCCAGTGGAACAAGACGACGTTTGAACAGATGTGCAGATAAACAACCCAACATTTTAGAAAAGACGTTACATTCTGGAGGTTTTTGAAACCAAAGAAACTTATTTACTTGTTGCCACCATTTTTTTTTAAAGTAGTTGGGCTGTTTTTAGAAGCAGGTGAGACCCAAATGGAGAAATAAAAACATGCAAAATGTGAATTTTGGATAAGAGGTTCCTTTTAAAAAAGCTCCTATATTTTGCTGAAATATTACTTTAAACTTAGTTTTGTTTTATTTCGAGTGTGCTAAGATACTTCCATTAGAAACAAGACAAATTTACTTGGTAAGATGTTGTGTTTTTGCAGTGTGTGTGTGTTTGTAGTGTGTTCAAAACTTTCTTCATCCCACCTCAAGCATGCAGTTATTTCACATTGTTTCTTGTGTCTCTCAGTGACAGTCACTCCTGGCTATTTCTGCTGCCGAGGTATCTACACTTTCCTCTCTGTCCTTCGCACCTTTTCATGATAACTGCATCTGTCCGTCCAGCTGTCGTCCTCCATCGTTAACATCAGCTGTCTCTCGTGTGTTTGTGTTAGGGGTGGGAAGCAGCGGTTACTCCGCGTTACGATGAATGACAAAGCAATAATATGATAGTTGCTAGTTTCTTCATAAAATCTCCCTGCAAAAAGCAGAAAGGTACCAAAAATGTGCCTTATTGTACAGATTAAGCATCGTCTCCAGATTATTGCCCCACCCCTACTCCATGTTTGTGTGTCGTTTCTAAATGTTTCTGTGCACAGATGTTGCCTTCAGTCTTGTCTCTGTGCCACATGTTTGCCTCATGCTTTCTTCACTCACAACCAGAGCAGGACCTGGCCAAGCCCTGGTCTTCTAACGCCATCTCTGAGCGATGGTTAGTAACGACTGTAAACTCAGTCTAATGTGAAAACTGCTGATTTGTTTTAGCCTGAGGAGGTGCAGTGCTTTTCTGCAGGTCATTTTACAGAAAGCACAAACGGCTTCATAACTGTAAATTCAGTAGTTATCGACGGTTAATGGGTGAACTGTCATTGAAGTAGAAAGGGGCGGAGCCTACGACCCGGGCGTGGCCAGGCTGGGTTTCTAACAGCGCTTGCTTCCAGAGCGGCTCCTTTAAATGTGATTGCTGGTTGGTGGGAGACAGAATTACAGGGTGCACCTGGCTGGCTGGCTTCATGTGGGGACATGATTGCAGGCTGCACCCGTCTGAACTGACCGGCCGATGGCTCAGGACGACGGCCGTCCAAGCTCATTTTATTTCCTCTCATTTAGCTTCGATCTCCCTCCTCACTGTCTCTCTGTGTCTGGCTTCCCCGGGCTTCTTTGTCATCTGCCGGCGCGGCTGCACCACTTTCCGTCCAAGAATGCTGCCTGACTTTAAGACGAAGGGAGAAACCCTGAACAAGCGTGACCAGCCTACAGTAAATATTTACGCTCACGCGGTGCAAACACAGAGGAGCTGGGAGGAACATACCAATTAATCAGAGAGGAAGCTACGCAATGAAAGTGCTGCCATCATTCAGGAAACTTAGGATTTTCATTTATGTCAGAAAAGTGGAGATGCTCTCAAGGTCTAATTACATTCAGAGTTCACATCAACATCTGTTCAAGTGATTTATTGTTGGAGCAAAACCAAACTCTTGGTTTATCTCAGCTGAAATAAACAGTCAGGAGCTTCATCGTAAGTCGATGTTTGTTTTCTGCGTAAAAGAAACTAATTCTGATCTCAACTTCATCATAAGTTTTTACCAATTCCTCCAAGAAGTTGCATTAATCAAAACTATTCATGCAACTAATTCAGTCATCATTTGCTAATTTTAGGACATGCAAATTTTTCTGTCTTAACGTTTTAGTTTCACTCGGCTGAATTTTAACCAATCGCCGATGAATAATTTAACTTCCTGTAAAAGCTGAACACAAAACGAAGGCATGTGACACTAAACAGCAACATTTCTTAAATAAACATTCTGAGATTTTCTGCAGGATTTGCTCATATTGTGTAAACAGTTCACTTTAACTTGAATGACAAATATTGAATTATTTATACTTTTTCTTCAGGACATTATTTTATTTCTATTAGAGGAACTTGAAAATGTTATTTTCTCTGTAAATATTTAAAATGTTAAAGTTCTGTCTTTTAGGGAAGATTTTATATGCAGCAATTTCAGCTTTTTTGCAAGACTGCAATGATTAATCGTGTTTTATCAATTATTAAAATAATCATCAACTAATTTAATAATCGATTAACTGGAGAAAAAACTTCTTTGTAAATAATTCACCCAGAACTCCTCATGTAGCATTTTTAGCTTCACCTTTTGTAATCCAGGTATTAGTCAGTTAATCCACAAATTGATCACCAGATCAGCTCCAGACTGGAAGAACGGCCTGAACTTTTCACAGGTTCGAAGTTTTTTTTGTTTGGTTTTTTAGCAAATGCATTTTTTGCGAGAAATTATTAAACGTTAGAATATGCCACTTTCTTTCATCTGATTAGTCAATAATCATCAGAATAATTGATAGAATAATAAATTACCAACATAATTGGTTGTTGCAACCCGACTTTTTTAAGACCAGGTTATGGCAATATTAAAACTTTAAAAAATTGCAATTTTGACATTAATGTTTTCAAAACGTGCAGCAAAGTCAATCGATTTCTGCTGCAGCAATCACAAAAAACACGGCAACGTTTTAGGACTGTATTGTATATATATGAGTAGTTAAGATTTCTCCACAAAGTTTGTTTCCCTGACGGATGGGGGAGAGTAGGAGGAAGTATGTGAGACCGTGGTGAGGTGTGCGGCCTGAGAGACAGAAGGATTATGATGTTTGCAGATGATATTGTGATGCAACAGTGACTGCAGAAGGGAAGGAGAAAGAGCAAGTAGGATGGAGACGAGTGTTTCTATATGTTCTGTGATGAATAGAAGACAGTAGGTGGCGCTGGAGAGGTTCAGGTTTTCCTTTTCAAAGCTTAAGAAGCAACAATAACTGTCTTCACGGCTGGTTGGCTTTTGTTTTGAATATTGAATTAATTCTCTTTCCTTTGCACTTGCACAACTTCACTTTCCTCCTCACAACCTTTAACCTCATGACCTCCTGACCTTTCCACTGCTCCAAACACGCTCTCTGCTCATGCGCACTCAAATGAAACACGCGCCGACTGTGATGTCTGCAGCCAAGGAAGCACCGACTCTCCCTCCCTCACTCTGCTCGCTGCCTCTGCTGCCCCCTGCTGGAGGAACAAAGATAAACCAAAAACAACACAAAACCTGACGGTTTCTTTCTGCTCTCTCTGTGTTCGTCTCTGTCTGCAGCTCGGGGTCGCACCAACCTGGAGCTGAGGGAGAAGTTCATCCTTCCTGAAGGAGCGTCTCAGGGCCTGGCCGCGTTCCGCTCTCGGGGTCGACGCTCCAAACCGGGCTCACGCAACGCTTCGCCAACCCGTTCATCGTCCTCGGCTTCCCACAGCGGCGCCTCGCTCCCGTCAGCTCCCTCCACACCTGCCACACCGACGGCTTCGGCTTCATCAAGGGTACGATTTTCTGCCTTATGACCGCGAAATCAGGTCATCCTGAGTCACGTCTTAAATTCACACATCTAAATTTAAGGCCTCAAGATTAAAAAATCATTTAAAAAGGTAAGTTAGCCTCAAATTCGTTAATTATAGGTCTTAAATTTTGTCTTAACTGCTTGATCTCACATTTTATGCATTTTTTCTTGCGGGACTTTTGTGACTTCTTCATTGCGCTCTGACTCAAGACGCTAGTGCACGAACTTTCCCATCCTAGGTAGCCTGGCCTAGCTTGTTTGGGTTTTTTGGGGGTTTTTTTTTGCACATATCACTGGAAAGTATCACCAGTTGGTTGGACAAAGTTGCAGAGATATAGGTCTGAAATTTACTTCATAATGTCTTGAAAAGCTTTAAAACGTCTTAAATTTGAGTTGGTGAAACCCTGTAAATGCGCTGCATCGTGAGAAAGCAAGAAAAATGTGAGATGTTTTTAAAAGTGAGATGTTTTATTTGCTGGCCATTTTTATTAGTTTTGTCATCAACAACGGGGTTTTTTGATAATTTTTTCTTGGGAAAGCTCTAATACTCTGTTATATTTTAATTTACTTTTTAATTTCTGTGATGGTTTTTTAGTTGAGTAAAAATCGTTGGTTCCCACATTAGTTCTGCCTTGAGTCCAGGTTTTGGCCCTGCCTGCAGGTGGCTCTGTGTGTATTTTATGTTACATGTTTATCGTCATCCTCTTGTTGAAATCACCACATCTTGACTGTGAAGTTTTATGTTTGTTCTTTGTGTTTTTTCTGTTGTTGTTTTTTTTTTTTTGCCTTCTCTCCTGTTTTCAACCCTGCTAACATCCCATCAAAAAAAAAAAAACCTTCCTGCATCGTCTGGTTCTGTTTGATTTAAAAAAAAAAATTATAACCATTTCTGCTGAACTGCTCTTACACAACAACACCCTGCGCTGCCCTCCAAACCTCCTCTTCCATAACCCGCTCCCTCCTCTTCCTCCTACGCTGCTTGGCTCTGCTCCCTCCTTTCCTTCCCTTCCTCCCTTCAGTCCTCCCTCACTCACTCGCGTGACTATGCCAAGCCATGGCTTGCACACAGTAAAACTCCAACGCCATCCAAGTGCCACTACTGCCCAGACTTCGGTCACAACCACAGCGCTCCTGGGCACGAGGTAACGCACTCACCTCCAACCTACCCACTCGCCTCCCCACCCTGACCTCCGACCCCTGACCCTTCTGAGCGAGCTAATGCACTAACATTGCAGCTACAAAGAAATAATAGGTTAAAAATTAAATCAAGGAATTAAAGTAGTCTGATTTTGTTGTTTGTTGAAAGAAACAAATAGATGTGGTTCTACTCATTATGAAAGCTTGGTTATACAAACACAATTAAGAAAATTATGTTCATAACATTTTTACCCTGATTAAAAGTAAATAGTTTTGACAGGCCAGATTTGTATCATTCATGAATTGCAGTTTGGGGCCACACAAAATCACTCCAAGGGCCACCAATGGCCCCTGCGCCGCACTTTGGACACCCCAGCTTCAAAGGCTTGAAAGTAAATCCTAAATCCTGCAGCATAAATAGAAAAACAGCTTTTATTGTTTATTATTTAGAAATTGGGGAAAATTGATTTAGGCATTAAATAACCTGAGCAGCTTAACAAATTGGTCTCATAATGTCCCTGACATGATGCAGTTTAGGAAAATTTGTTTTGTAAATTTTGTTTGTTGGTTTTTTTCTCAAACAAAAATTGGAAATTAAAAATAATAATTTAAAAAAAATCTGAATAATTTTATTAGCCACTTCACTATTTAAATGCCTCAATAACTTACATTATTTTTCATAAATATTTGTCTAGTTTTCATGTAGTAAATAAATTAAACACCTTCCACTGTTCGACTGTAGCTTTGTGTTGAAGTGTAACTGTTTTTGTGTTCGTGTTTTAGACGTGTCCGTGTTGTCACATGTTTTTGTTTCCATGTCAAAATGTTGCCCCAGTTTCAAAATGGCTGCTCTGTCAGCTAACCGTGACGTCATTCCTGTGTTGTCCTGCAGGGGGCGGCGTCTGGCTCCAAACTGAAGAGGCCGACCTTCCACTCGAGTCGAGGATCGCTGACCGGAGAGAACGGAGGAACGGCGCACAGCAGCAAACGCACAGGTGAGTTCACTGAAAAAAATCACAAAATTTGACAAAGTATTTTATACAGTTTCCAGTGCATTTATCTTACTGCACTTAAAATAAGACAGAAGTAACTGAAAAGTAACTGTTCAGCAAGATGCAGGAGCCTGTTTTAGGTCAATAATTCCTTAATATTTGTTTTGAAAAATATTAGTAGATTATTTCACTTCTAAAGTGATAAAGGGATCCACCTTATGCCGAGCGCCCAAAGCAACTGGCTTTGGATGCAAATGCAGGTTTTCTTCCATTGGCTTTCTATGCACAATGAACACATAAAGCATTTTGGGTTCTCTGTTCAAGTTTAGAATTTTTAGCCAAACTCTTTTTTTGTTTCCTTTTTATGGATGAACTAATCCTTTTTACAAATATTAAGGAGTTGTTTTATGTTCTTATGTTTTGCTGCAAAGTTAATTTTGTCTTATTTCAAGTGTACTAAACTATTTGCACGAGAAACTCGACCAAAAATGCTCGGTTTACTGGGTTTCAGTTCCGCGTCGGCTAACGGCTCACTCTCTCCATCAGATCCAAAGCGAGGGGCGGCGCCGGCCAGCGGTCCGACCAGCCGCGCCGGCAGCAGAGCAGGCAGCCGGGCCAGCAGTCGCCGGGGCAGCGATGCCTCCGACGCCTCGGAGCTTCAGGACGCTCGCTCCGTCTGCTCCGATACTTCAGACACGCCGAGGCGGCCCGGCAGCGCCGCTAAACCCTCAAAGATCCCAACTATATCGAAGAAGGCTCCCAGCCCCAAGACGCCAGGCTCTGCGAAGAAGTAAACCGGCTGCAACCGGTGTTCTTGTTCTTATCCTTCATCCAGACGGCTGGTGTGAAAATCCTGCACTATAAGTGATGTTTTTCCGGGGAATGAAGGAGATGGCGATCCAAGTAAATCTCCCTCTCGCTCCTTCCCAAGTCTTGAAGACATGCACAAGAGAAGAGGGTCTCTGGACCAGAATCCGAGGGGTCAGCGAAAACTTTTCCCCCTTTAAGACCCTGGTTTGCCTTCCAGTCTCCTCTTCTCAAACGTGATGCTGCCTTACTATATGTTACACACATTGTCGTGATCAGATGTCCAGCTTTCTAACTGACAGACGCACACTTGGACCCGTAGAGCGCGGCGCAGCACGGATCGGGGCACGCTGCCAACGCCGCAGCTACACAAACAGAAAAAGAATTGTGGGAGAATTATTTTTACTTGTGGTCCAGATGCCTCAAGGATGCGTCAACAGAGAAAATATGCAACGACTGCCATGTCTGTCGCTTGGCGAGAAAACCGTCATCTCAGCAGCGGCGGAGCTGAGGAAACGCTGTCTGACGCACACACACACACACACTTCTTGTGAGGATCGGTGGAGGTGGTGACTCCGCCCAACCGCTGGAACGCTCCCATCAGCCCCAGCGTGCATTTCAGCAAAGGGCGGTGCGGTTTCTTTTTCTCCTTTTTTACACAAAAATCACAAGCTAGCAATAGAAAGGACTATTTTTACGGGACACTCGACAACACAGCATCGCACACTAATTCTCTGCCGCTGTGTTGCCCTTAGTGACCCGCTGCACACACACACACACACTTGCGTTGTGTGTGTGTCTGTTACAGGAAGCAGCAGAGGTCATTGACTTGAGTCACTGTATGCAAAATTTTACTTTGCAAATGTTTTCTGATTAATTTATAAACCAGTTGGACTTTTTTGTTGTTTAGCTTGAAAGACAGATTTATTTATTTTCAGTTTTTTGTCATATCACCATCGGCAGAGAGTGATTTAGTATTATGGTTAAAGAAATTATGAATTTTTTGTACCGAGAAGATGCCCACTCTGCTCTTGTTTTTTTGACATGGTTTGTGTGTAAAAGCGTGTTTCTACTCTACTATTGTGACATGACATTACTCATTGGGGCGCCCTCTAGTGGCAGCCTTGTTAAATTTTCTTTATCGCTAACAGCTACATTTCCTGACCAAAGGGGTTTGTTTGCCCTTCGTGTGTAGAGATGAACCACAGATTTGAATGACGACGTCTCTTCTTCTAGGATTTTTTTCAAATGTCCTGTTGCTGACAGGGCCGCGTTGTCTAAGTGTTTTCTCAAATTAAGAGATGAAGTTTATGGAAACTAATGAAATAACATCAAGAAGACATCTTAAGGCTGATTTTTATTTATTTATTGTCTCTCTGAGGGGGAGTGATGGGGAAACGATTCCTCCACCTTTTCGATGCTGCAGTCCTCTCAGTGTGATGAAGTCAACATGGAGGGAGGAGGGGGTGTTACAGGGAGTCACTTGTGTAAAATTAAACAATAAACTAAAATTATAAACTTTTTTCTGTTTTTGTATTAAAAAAGTATGCTTGCAATAAAACTGCCTCTCACCTTGTTTTTTTTTCTTTGATTCAACTCTCATCAAACTGTTTGAGTTTTAGAAGTTCAAGTCCTGAAGATAAAAATCTAATGTGGCAACAAAATGTCTGCACTAATGAACACGTTCAAAACTGTTCTTATAATTGGTCCAATTCACAAACAATTTAGTCCACCTGCAGTCCAGTAATGGGTTTATAAACGATTTGGAAGAGGTTTGCATGTGTGGACTGGATAACAGAAGACCACTGACACAAAGTGACATAATCAGACAGTTGCTGGAGCTTCCTACAGTCCAACTTCAAGCACATTAGACAGCATGACCAGCTCTTTAAGTTTTGGGCTTATTCTCTGCATGGTGCCCAATGGTTCCCACATCAGGCCCCTGTAACCTATGTCAAACTCCAAGTACCAGTATGAGAATAACTAAAAAACACAAATACTGGAGACTCCTTTTAAAAACGCCAATTTTAAGTCTCCAAGGGCCAGAACTAGTATCTCCAGTCTTATCCGGGGAAAAAAGGGACAATTCTGGATCTTCTGCTTTGTGAACAGCAGCCAATAGCAGGTCAGCAAGCATTGTGTAAGGTATTTAATTTTTCTATGATGGGTTTTTCTATCAATTGTTTTAATGTAAAAAATAATCCATGAATACAGAACCAGGAATAGACCCAGTAATTCTGTTAAACGTGTTGACAGCTGCCTGGTAACATGCCACTTTCTGGTGCCCATTTTGAATGAGTCCCAAGTGTTTTATTAGAATTATTAAGTTGGGGACTTTTCCTTGGTGCAAAATGGGTTTTAGATATTACAACAAAGTTTTTAAAATTGGACTTGGAAGCTATAAACATATTAACTGAGTAAAGAGCAACATTATGCTGAAAGTGCTGCCTGAAATCTTGCGGGGGAAAATGTATCCAGTTCCGTTCTCAGTATATAAGAACGTGGACGTGTTTACAGTCAACATTCCCTAAACCGTTCATTGTAAGCAATATATACATGGTTAGATAACATTGAAAGTATTTAGGTATATGTAGTATTAAGAGACAAATGTTTTTAAAATGTCTAATCTTTGGACCCCCCCTCCAAAATCTCATAATGGTTCGTTCCACGAATGGAAGCTCTCTTACGTCGTCCTCGGCGTTTTGAAAGCTCGAAAATGACGACTTTCAGGTTTGGATTTATCTCTCTGCTTGTTCAGAAATTATGTTATGAGTTTGTAAAGCTCGTATGAAACAAATCGGAAGAATAAAAAATACATCCAAACAGTTCTGCCAGAGGAAATAGTACATTTCTGTTGAAAAAAATGTCGAAGTTGGCAAATATTAGCAGAAGGCTAATATCACACACCCGCCATCTTGTTTCTTTAATTTCCAACGGCAGTAACTCAAAAACTAAAAGTACATTTTTTGGTATGGAAGGAACTTCTTTTGTTTTTAGTCTGCGCTATTAATGCAGCTTTACCAAATCTTCATAAACATTTTATTGAATGTATTAAAATATTGGTCTTGGTTCTTATTCAGTAAATAAAACTTTTGATTTTGGGTTCTACGTTTCGTTATTGCTGTGGAAGACAATGGAGATATTCATAAAGGCTGAAGTTAGCTTCTGATTGTAGCTGCTAATTTAACTTAATTTTTCACTACCATGGAAATTATTAATTTGATATAATTTAAAAACTAAAATACTTAAACCAGTAAAACCTGCACTAGACTATTGTAGCAGAGTAATCCAGACTCATTAGTAAATTGTGAAACCTTTATTTGATATTTGAAAGTTAAAAAACAGGCTATAAAAGGTTTTTTGCATCCTGACCATATTGAAAATGATCCAGAATAATGCATCACAGGCTTAAAAGGTTTAAATATTGTAGTTTTTAAACTATAGCAGATTAAAGATAAGGTGTATTTTAAAATCCAATAATTTTTCATATTTTTCTGTGACTTGTTTCTAAATTTAACTATTTTTTTGTTTTGAAAGGTCAGAAGCCAAATGAAAACATGCATGTTAGCAACGCCTCCATGAGTTGTGCAGGTATTTGTGTATTTGCATGCATGTGTTTTCTTATTCTGAGCTCCTGGTTGTTATTCCTTCAAAGTGTAAATTTATTGAGAGAAGTGAAGCAAACTTAATTTGTTTTTCTCTCTTCCTGTGTGTGCGTGCCTCAGTTTGTGTCTGATGGCAAGGCCCAGACTCGCAGCCAGTCGCCGGACATTTCTCTGTAATTGAGGTGTTCGACATGCAGAAGATAAAGACGTGCCCGCCTGGATCTTCACTTCTCTGCACAGAGAGGAGGTAAACACAGAGCGGAGGCAGGTGGTGGTTTGGGAGAAATAAGCTAAGCTTCGTGTTTGCCTTGCCCGACCAGGATACGTTTTTGGTTTTACGTCAGGCGTTGGTGGAAGATTTGAAACTTTGTCGTGTTTATGTGATGGTTTGAGTTGTTCCTCTGCAGCTGTGCGTACTCTCACTGGCCACTCGTTTGCTGTCCACTCTCCATCCATCTTCACCCCCTCACTTTGGTGACAGTCCTCTACTTCTTCCTCTCAGGAATGCCTTTTTTATTTCTGTTGGGTTATTCAGTTTCAGAGGCAAACATTCCCTCTTTTTTGTATTTATTTTCTCTTCTGTACTTTCACCTCTCCTGATAAATCCTCCAGGATTTGGCATGTTCACAAAGCAAAGTGGGTAGCGCATTAATTCCTGGCATTTCAGGGACTTGCCTTTGGCCTCGGGCAAAAATGACGGCGACCGCGTTGGTTTGGTCAATGTTACTCGTTCCTCTCAAAGGGACCACAAGAACCGAGTTCACTTTGAAGAGAAGAGCGCACAAACATGAGCGGGCACAGGGCTGAACCTCTCTACTCTATTTTAATCATTTCTTCCCTCAGAGTCCTTCTGGTTTGGACCCGAGCGTGGATGTTTGCTCTAGACCTGCTGCAGAAAAACTCCTCCGGACAAATAGAGGATTTATCAGCTCAGAGTTAAAAAATGCATTTAATTTCTGTTGTAAACATAAAAATAATTTACGACAAACTGAAGAAAGGAAGCAGATGAAGAGGTAGAAGTGTGGCGGTGAGATGAGGTCTCCTGAGGAGACCGCTGGGAGGGGTGGCGATGAAGAGAGGAGAAGTTAAAGAGGAGGAGGAGGAGGAGGAGGAGGAGGGAAACTCCCTCCTGCTTGTGAACAGCTGCTCAGGATTCACTCTGCAGAGCCTCCACAGAGTGCAGAGTCGACTTACCTCTGCTGGGAAATGAGACTCGAACCGGGATCGGACCGTTCCTGAGCCGACCAGCGGGTCAAAGTTCTCCTGGGGAATCCCTGCTGGTTCCTCTCATCCTGGATCCAGAGGAGAATTACTCTAAACCTAATGACAACGCTCCCAAATTCCTCTCCAGCACCCACTCATCACTGAAATTGCTCCACATCTTTCACGTTTGCAGCTTCAAAGCTTCTCTTTTTTTGTCTATATTCACAGCAGTTCCAATAGCTTGTAATTATGCCGACTCTCATCATGCGCGCCTCTGCTGCTGCGTGACTGAGCGCTGAGGGGAGAGGTGGATTTTCCTTCTGATTTGAGATTAGAGGTAAACAGAGCCGGCGCTCGTCTAAACACCTCAGGCATAAATCTCGGCTGTTTTTGTCTGCGGTGACTGAGCTGCAGCAGTTGGAGGAGAGCGGCGCTCCAGAAGGATGAACCTGCACCAGATCCTGCAGCTGCGGGGCAGACCTGGACCCAGACCCGGCCCAGGACCCAGCTCCACCCTGCTGTTGCCTCTCCTGCTGCTGTCCGTCCTGCTGTGGAGCCAGCAGGCCGAGGCCGTGGTCCACTCCAGCTTCCGCCGGCTCAGCGGCCGCGAGAAGAAGGAAATGCAGAAGGAGATCCTGAACATCCTGGGCCTGCCGGGCCGACCCAGACCGCACCCGCCCCTCAGGCCGCCCTCGTCGGCACCGCTCTTCATGCTGGACCTGTACCACGCCATGTCGGCCGACGACGAGGACGAGATGGCGCTGAACGGGCCGGGCCTGGGGAGGTACGGGGCGGCCGTGCAGGTCAACTACGCCGCGCTGCCAACGCTCAGCACGCACACGCCGCCGCTGGGGAGCGTGGTGAGCGAGGCCGACACGGTGATGAG